TCTTTTTCCTAGTCCTTGAGCGAGGAGATATTTGTATCTTTGATAATAATAAAGCAAAAGAAGCTATCACTCACTCATCAGGTATCTCTTATTTGCTAAACACGGTGCAAAGTCCCTATCCGGTGAGCTCATTTCATCACCACAGCAACTCATCTAGGTAGAGATGATGTTACCTATTTTAAAGATGAAGCAACTGAGTTTTGAGAAAAACATTCATGGCTTTTGCATCACACAGCTGTCAAGTGATAAGCCTTGGAGGTGAAGGGACATCTTCCAGAACCCGTGCTCTTAACTACTGGGTTTCCAAAGCTTCCCTGCTTATCCCATACTCTGAATCAAACATGACTGGCTCCAAGAATACAAACTTAATTACTAGATAAAACAACCAAATACTGAGTCTCCTCCAACATTACGTCCTTCTTAATTTCACAACTACACATTAAGCACTAACTACATATCTGATACTGCACAGTGTTTTAACAAGACACAAATAAGAAGTGGCACCACCCTCAGCCGGTTGAATGGGACGCTTGGGGCATTGCTTATTGATAGAGTGCTTGCCTGGCATTATACAAATCCCCGAGTTTAAAAGGGGGTGATAATTATATTTAAAAAGTATTTATTGAGTGGTGGTAAGGTTAAGAAGCCATGCTATCACCCAGGAGGGAGTTCTTACCTGTATCTAGGAAGAGAGAAACTCCATGAAGAATGTGACCCCTGGAGGAAGGAGGTCCTGAACAATGGAGGTAAACAGAAAAAACATCCGAGAAGAAAGAGGTTGGAGCATAGGCCAGAACCATGCAGTCAAAATGGTGAGCTAGAAAGACTGGGACAGCTGCAGCCCAGGGGGCTGGAGTATAGCAGCATCTTGCCTGTGAACCTGTAAGGGTGGCCACACCCCTTTGGGCGTGGCTTCAGGCTGATGGAAGTGGAAAGAGAGAAGCTTGAGGTGTGGTCTTTGTCTCACTTGCTTCCTTTCTGTAGGGTCAGCAGATGCAACAGGAAGGGCAGAGAAGCTCTCCTGTGGTTCTTTATTATTATCTGTTAAGTGTTACCCAACAAACACCCATTTATCACTTATCTTAGGTCTAGTGAAATCATTACGTTCTCACCTTCACTGGAGCCTAAAGCAGGTACCATATGAAAGCTTCTGCTCCCCACTTAACAAAGCCAAAGGTACCAAATTCAAAGTGCCATTTTGCATTTGACCAAATGTAGCTGTTTTTAATTTTTATTCTAATTTTGTTTCTTTGTTCTTGAGACTAGGTCTCATGTAGCCTGGCCTAGCCCTCAAATTTGCTATACAGACAAGAATGACCATGAATTTCTGATCTTCCTGTCTCCTCCTCCCTCATGGGATTATAGGCAAATACTACCACCCTGAGTTTCTGCAGTGCTAGGAACTAAACTCAGGCTTCCTTAACACTAGACAAGCTACTGTACCAACTAAGCAAATCCTCAGCCCCATTCACGTAGTACATGCACATGGGTGTGCGTCTCCTGTGTGTGCACACGTGTGTGAAGGCCAGAGGTTGGGGTTTCATGTCTTCTCTTGATCTTCATCTTATCAGGGAGAGAGGGTCTCACTGAACCTGGAGCTCACAGATTAACTACTCTAGCTGGCCAGCAAGCTCCGGGGATTCTCCTGCCTATGGCCTCACAGTGCTGAAATACACGATACCCGCCAAGGCTTTATTCGTTTTTTATTTTCACTTTTGATATAGTGTCTCACTGGGTAGCTCTGGCTGCCCTGGAGTTTGCTTTATAGACCAGACTGGGCCCATACTCATCAAGACCTGGCAGCTTCTGCTGCCTGAGGATCAGGATTAAAACACACAACCACCTTGCCTGGCCAAAAAAAAAAAAAAAAAAAAAAAAAAACGCCTCTGTGTGGGCCCTGGGGGTCTGAACTCGGGAACTCGGGCCCCCATACTGAGGTGGCAGGTACTGTACCCACTGAGCCACCCCTTCAGCTTGCTTTATGTAGCTTTTGAACTTTTACTTCTAGGGCTGATAACGGAAATCTCCAGTGAGGGCCAGAGAGATAGCTGAATGGGTTATGGGCATGCGCACCCAAACCTGACCATCTTAGCTCTCTCTCTCCAGGTCCCACATGACTGAAGGCGAGAACCAACTACCTCAGACATTCATGGAGTCATGTGCATGACCATATACATATATACACAGATACAATAAATGATCACACTTAAGAAAAATCTATAGTGATGACAGAAAAGCCCACCATTGAGCATATGTGATAAGAAGATTGAGGTTCAAGGTTTTTTTGGGGGGGGTTGGTTGGTTTGTTTGCTTTTTTGTTTTGTTTTGTGAAACAGGGCTTCTCTGTGTAGCCCTGGCTGTCCTGGGACTCACTTGTGAGGCCAGGATGGTCTTGAACTCACAGAGATCTGCCTGCCTCTGGATGCTGGGATTAAAGGTGGGTACCATCATACCCAGTTTAGGTTCAAGTTTAATTTAACTAACTCAATGTCTTATTATCCAACTTGAGTAAATAGTGACTTCTTGTTTCTCCTGAGCGTGATACAATGTGGCCACTCAGATAAAAAAAAATGCCCAACACTAACTTCAGGAAGTATTAATGAACAGTGGAGGTTAATTAATGTGGTAGAACGATGTAAAAAACATTATGTCACAATAGGCTTCCTCCTTTGACCATTTCTCTTCTCAAGAATCCTGCTTATGGTAGTCATGTCCCAACATCTTGTCAATCCTGAAGATTTGTCTGTGGCCTCTACTGCCTTACAAGTTCGTATTCTATAAGAACACCTCACTATTCGTTCGGATGCAAATTAATTTCTATTACAATTTTATGCCCTGCCTCTCATCGTGTTTCATATTGTGCTGATTGGACTTGTGGGTAAATACAGAATCCCACCCAAAAAAGGGGGGAGTGGGAAAGATCTGGGCACTTGTATTTTATATTTTCAGCCTGTTAACGCTTTTGCATCACTAGTGTAGAACACACCTATCTTTGAATATAACTTGCAACCTTATGACCTGTGCAACCTTAGGCTAGTAACACTTGGGGCTTTGATGTCCTTATTCATGAAATGGGTACGTTTTTCCTTTTCCTAAGAAGAGTATTGGGCAGTAAAGGTGAAGGAGCATCAAAGTATAATAGGCTAAGATGAAGCCCATGAATACAAATTAGACACATCTGCCCTCCATGAGCTCGCGGAAACACATGTAGACACCACAGCCATGTGAACGATAAACCTAGCTGCAATTTCCACACAAAGGTGTAAGTCTGGTAACTTGTCAGGGCTCAGTCTTTAACTGTCATTATTCCTGTTTGAATTTTATTTCGTTGGCTTTTTTCTAAGGACATACATCTCCCAGGTCAGAGGGTAACAAACAATAGCTTCAAGAACATCATGCTGTGCTGTGTCGACCTGCATGGAATCTATGCTGAACTTCAGGGCTGTATGGCTTCTTTATAGGGTGACCTGGATATTTTTTCCCCATGTTAGTCTCTCTCTCCCTTTCAATGACAGTGGAGTGTCATCTCTGTATGAAAGTATAAAGTATTATTTTTCTATATAGTACTGGTGAATGTCAACTACCATGATATACTAGCAAATATTATTCAGGAGTAAGCCTAATTTTTCTTACTGTTTTGCAAAGTATTTCAACAATAACACTAGTAGCAATTTTTTCCATTTTCACTTTCCATTAGTTTAGTTTATGCATATATTATGCTGTGTATTATAGCATATCATAACTTTATCCTGGTGCCATATAATCATCAAAATGAGTATTATTTTAATGGGCTTTTAATTATCCATCTTATTAATGTACTTTGCTTAACTTAAATTTTCAACAATAGACTTGTTTCCAATTTTTTCTGCAGTATAAATAACCTCTAGGTTACAGTTTTTCCCATAGCTTCTTACATTTTTCATATTTTTCCTTTGGGTACACTCTTAGGAAGGGGATCACTACATGAGGGGATATAAATTTTTAATGATTTTTAAATAAATGGATGTTACTTTTCCAGTTTACAATGCCACAAGCAAAATGTTAACATTCTTCTCACATTGCAACCTTATCAGAAGGGTGTGTTACTATTTGATATTTAATATACCAATTACCAGAGGACCTTTTGTTTTGCATTTTTCTCATAAATAACAAGTTTTAATCAAACGCTTGCTTGCAATTTTTGTATCTTCTTGTATTTTGTGAAGCCACCTGGACTCGAAGACCTAGGAATACTTCTTTTCCATCAATAACTGCTGCTATTGCTCAATAATTTTATGTATATTAAATAAAACTAATGTTGAATTCTTAGAAAAATATTCATGTATACTCACAATAATGAATTATTGAGAACCTGTGTGTGGAGAACTGTGTGTGGAGTAGCCAGATAAAATAATGGAAAAATTAGAAAGTTAAAATGAGGATACTGTATCTATTCCAGAACTCCAAAAGTTCAAAGGAGGACTACAGTTCAGATAGTTCTAATCTCTAGTCAGATTTCAATGACTTTTTCTTTCTAGCCTCAATCCCACTTGGTTTTTAATGTGCAAACTCAGGAGCCCTTAATCATACTGCTTCTAATATTTCCTTGATTTTATTCAAGAATTCCTAATGAATGAAAACACACACACACACACACACACACACACACACAATGTCTTGTGTCATTTCCAGATGCATGGTGCTCCCAGGCCGGTACAGGCATGCAGCTCTATAAAATGAGATGGGTTGCCAGCCTGCACCCCTGTCAAGGGGCTGGAAGCCAAGTCCAGAGACCCAGCTCTGCCCTCTGTTCTGGGCAATGTGGCCTGGCTCTTGAAATGGGCATCTTCTGTGTTTTGCCAACTAGTGCAAGGATGTTTCATGACAAGCCTCTAGCAACCCTTTCTTTTCACTAAAGGTGTTAGGATTCTCCAAATAAGATAATTGTTACATGTTGATATGTCAGACTATAAAGAAAGTTGCTAACCATTTCCCTCCTCCCCCTTTTTCCTTTTCTTCAGCCTCAGCGGAGGGTTCGCCATAAACATGTTAGCCTTGCAAGCTGCTGTCCTGCCAGTGGATATGAGCATGGCCTGTTCCCCAGAGAAAGACTTATCATGGTACTGCCAGAAGAGATCCTTGGAGCACTGACAGATTATCTGGATTAACTGAGAAGATTCAGTCAAAACTATGAAGTCTGAAAGGAAAAATAATCTTGGTTTGCAGTGGTTTCAAATGAGGTGCATAACATACAGTGCCAACTCGTTCCAAGTGGTCATTGGCAGACCATTAGCTGGAAAATTGCTTCCAGTTTTCATCACTGTGCATAACTCAAGTTCCCCTTGGGCCCTGGCTGTGCCCTTCACTAGAAGTCCTGTTTTAGCATGGCAACTACTGGATTATTTCATTAAGTGTGCAGATGGCATGATGTTTTAGAAAAAAACTACAAGAGTCTCAGTGGAAGGGTTCACAATGTTATGCCCTGGTAGGAATGTAAACATGTCTTGATTGTGTTAGTTACAATGTCCAACGGTGTTCTGTCCGATGCTGAAGCACTTTATATGAGGATGCTACGCTGAGATAAAATAGCACATCTGGCATATGTAGGAAAACAAATGTTTTCTCTTTTCTTTACACATCTTGTCTTATTTCTGGCTCAGACTGTCCAAGACAAACTCCACTCCTAGTATCCCCCCCCCAGTTGTCTGTGGTAGATCAGTGTAAATATGGCCACAATACTGTTAGATTTCACTTGCTGACACTTTATTGGATAACTAGATTACTTATAGCACAAAGGGAAGTAGAAGCTAGCCAGCCTGGTGACTGGACTATTTGAAGCCTTGGTTCCTTGTACCGGGGCACAACTTAAAACATGACATCATGACACTCTGTACAGGATGCTGGTCTTTGACCAATGCATACACATTCATCTTCTATAGCGGAGATCTTCCAAACACCAAGACCATTGTGGATTGATGCCAAGGGCATCAGGTTGCAACCTTAGTGGTCCCATTCCCACACTGGGGAAAACTTTCAGAGGTCAAGTTTAAATCGCAATTCTGGAGAGAAGCATCAAATGACCCACCCCCACCCCTCCACTCCCGCACCCCCTCACCTCCCCCATGTGCCTAGAAAAGTAAACCATTCGGTCCACCCTAGGTTTCTTCCCTTTTAATACTTCCTGGGATGTATATATGACTTTTTAAAATTCTGCCTAACAGCAAAGCACAGTCCTGGGAACCCTGTCCATTCAGTGGTTGCCTACCTGAACACTAGAGAAGTGTTCATTTATATTGATTTCCCCCTTGTGATAGATACATTAGCATCTTTTCCCTGGGAATTGAAACTTGGCAGAATCAAAACCTCTGCGAAGTGTGTTATGAGTGCTCACTAACCTAACCTGAGAGCAAAAGGCATCAGAGACTAATATTTAAAATAGATGCGACAACTTCGGGCACCCTTCCAGCACAAGCAAGCAAGACGTTTGCATTGTCTCCAAGCACTCATTCTCTGTCTCCACTTGGGGGTCACAGGCGGTAGAAAGACATGAATGAGATACACATAGGATATCTCTCCACAGGATGGCTCCTGTCAGATGTGGGCTGGAGAGAGGTCCTGATAGGGAACTCAGAGAAATGATAGTTACCATGAAATCTGGACTTTCCATAGATCACCACCAGAACCATCAAAAACAGACCATAATAATCTAAACATTGGAAATTGCTAACCCAGGCTGCCAGCGTTCCTGCCCTATGACCCATCCGTTTGCCTTAGTTCCAACAGCGGGGTTTATGCATCCCTTCACTCCTTCTTTTCGTTCAGCAAGCATCTGCTGAGGGACCACCATGCACCATGAATCATGCTGGGTCAACTCTAGTACATAAGGCACACACTTCTGCTTCTATTGAGTTATTTCTTTCTCTCTTGTTCCACAGTGCAAACTGAATTGAGATGTTCATACCCACCCTCCTCCCCTCGCCAGAGAAACATAAGAAAATGTTCATGACACACAGCAGGCGGGTCCCATTCCTGATTGAGTGGGCAGCTTCAGAGCACAAAGAGAACCTCACCAGACAACCAGCTAGGTTGAGTAGAACTTCCCACAGCAGCTCTCGGTTGCTATCCTTTATGTCTTTCTATAGACACTACCATTTACCACTATGCTGGGTTCTCTGAAATGCCAATTCTGTAACTACTCCTAAAGAGCCTGAATTGGTTCTAATGAATCCTATAAACCCTGCCAGGTGCTGAGATCTTGGAGCTGGGAATTAACTGATGTTGCCGGTTATACTCTGAGACCTCTGCTAAAACCCTTGGAGAACTGGATGCACATTCAAGTGCAGACGTCCACGAAATGATCATGGGCTATTGTTATTTTGGCTTTTGCAAAATAATCTGAACAATTAAAAACAAGTTGCCTCTCTTTTTTTGAGTCAGGGGAATACTGTGACATTATTGAAAGGAAACATGTAAAGATAGAAATGGAAAAAGGCAAAATAAAGGTCCTTAAGAGCCCAGATGAAAATAGTATCTCTAAAAAATGCCTTAATGCCTGGCACTACCTACATATTTGCATATGAGCCCGCACTGTTTTCCAAACTGTCGACCTCTGTTTGAAATTGTTATTGGTTTGGAAACATGGTGGCATAAAATCTGTGCACGCCCAAGCAAAACCAGAAAAATGTAGAAATGATCTCATTCACCGCCTTCAGCTTCCGTGTTGTATGGCGCTCCTCCATGAAATTGCCCTGCGCTTATGTCTTGCTTTGTTGTGTGTTTTTGGTGGGCTGGGCACAAATGAGAGTGAAATTTTACCTTCCAGAAATCCAGGCATATCTGTGGTGGGTTTTGTTTAGTAAGACAGGAGATTTGAGGAGCTAAGGGGTAAATGATTTAATATGTAAAGACTGTAAATGATTGAGGCTTAGTTTTTCCTTTTTTCTTAAATCTGTGCTACCCTTCTTACTAAAAAGGCTAAAACTCACACGTATACAGGAAAGGCACTCTTGAGAATGAGCTGAAATGAATGATTATCAGACTCTCCGGAGTGCTGAGGGGATTAGCTCTGTTCAGATCCAAAACCAAATTTAAATATGCAGAACATCACAGTTCTGCTGTTGGGGTCAAAAGCAAATCACACCAGTAGCTTGAGACTTGCCTAGGAGGGATAGGGACCCTGTCAACTTTCTTTATGGGACCTGACTTACCTTCAAATCCCTGCGCTAGCTCCAAGATGTGTCTACCCACCAATTCTATTTCTACCTCCATGATATGGGTAAACATGCCAGGTTCTCTCCAGAGTCACTCTGCAGCTGGCCAGACAGAGGCATACAGTCCTCAGTGCTGAGGGGATCGTGCCATTTCTAACATTCAGTGGGGAGATGGGAGATCAAGGATGCCTGCGAATATAAACTAAGTATAAGAACCCCGATAATGGATCCACCACACACACCCTAAATGCTTTCTTTGTCTGCAAATGTCACAAAATTGGTTTTGGATAGCAACAATAAAAGTTGCAAGGAAGTAAAGTTTTCAAGACACCCCTAACACTTTTTTTTAATCCAAACCTCTTCCCCATGCATTAGCAACTTCATTCTTTATCACCTTTTCTTCCGTGTTCTTGAGAGTAATTTTGCTACGTGACAACTTGACTTAAAGCTACCATTGACTTCAAAATCTAGTCTTTGAAAGTGACAAAAAATGCCTTTATTCTTTAAAGGCTGTTTTTCTTCATCACCTCTCCCACAGCCCCTTCACCCCACTTTTCGATTTATTTTACGCATGTGTGATTTTTTTATTCTCACCTTCTTTCACACAGTGCTCTACGTATAGTTTAAGCATCCTATAAAGAACTCAGACAGAACCACATAGTCCTCAGCAATTTTTCCCCTGTCCTGACTAGTAATTCAGCCTTAAGCTTGACTTTGATGCTGCCCAGGCAGCAGTTGGGGCCCCCCATTTTCCAAAGTCACTGGTCAGTGGTGATCATTTATACAAAGCCAGTGGGATTAGAGAGAAGGGCAGGCTAGGAGATATATGCACTTGAGCACAGCTGAGGACTGTACTTCAAAGACAGACAAGCCTCCACCTCAAGCCCCTTAGATCTGGGTCTAATCCTGGAGCCAGAGCATGGTCCTGTGAACTCTGGTTTACCAATAGACAGAACTTCTGGGAGCTTAAAGGTAAAAGAAGGCTGATTCGATTATGTTCTTCTGGTGATATCTGTTAGCTGGGATACAGAATAGACTTCTGAAAGCTTTGAGTGAGGAAAAAAATGACCAAGTGTACCTACACTCTGAAGGTGACTCCAGGGTCTGTATCAGTGATGACACCTTTGTCCATCCCTTTAGTTTCAGAGGCAAAATCCTGGATGAGGAAGTGGGAAGGCACTAGTGCTATTTCTAAACTCTAAAACGTGTAGCATGGAATTTAGGTGATGAAATGGAAAAGAGATAGAGCATCAGGCATGGACCAGTGCTGGTCCTCTACTCCACATCAAAGGAAAAAGAAGTGACTTCTACTAATCAGTGAAGCCTGATCATTCCAGGTTTCGTAAAGCTGTTTCCTTTAGCAGATAAGGCTACTTAAGAACTATAGGATCCCAGAATCCTCCCAACAGAATGCCCTTGTGTACTTATTTCAAGCATTAAACAATACCAGCAAGCTACACTGACTACCGTGTAAAAGTCACTGGGGACAGACCTCACACTGAATCCCAATCAAGTGACATAATGGTACCAGCGTTGTTGGTCTTTTGACATTCCTTCTGATCACATAATATCTTCAAATTTTGGAGCTAATGATTTGGGACATTTGGGTCATCAATTGTTTTATTGTTGTTCTCCAAACCTCAGAAATGTCTAGGAGCTTTCTGCATAAAGTGTCAAGTGTTTTGCATAGCAGCTTTGCAGAAATGCTATTAGAATCTATTGAGCTGGGAAGTGTTAGGTAGTACACACCTTTAATCCAAGCACTCAGGAGGCAGAGGCAGGTGGATCTCCGAGTTGGAGGCCAGCCTGGTCTACAGAGCAAGTTCTGGGACAGCCAGGGCTACACAAAGAAACCCTGCCTCAAAAAAGCCCCCAAAGGAAGAAAAATAAATTTCCCTCAACTTGGAGGTCCTTACACCTACACCAACTCAGTAAAACACTAAAGAGTGCTGGTTGCCTGCCATCATGCTCACAGTGTTTTAGAATTCAATCATTCGTATCAAAGGAAATAAACAGTTGAATCACACAGTTTTTCCATATTAGCCTACACATGGTTATCAAATGTAGAATTCCAGTGTTGAGTATTTTGAAAGAACACACAAGTCGGCTTTGTGGAACTGCATTTACTCACTGTCCCTCCTCAAGTTCTATAAAAAGATAGTAAAATACTTGATGCTTAAAATCTATAGCAAGAATTCTTACTATAATAAATCGTTGTTTCACCTGGGAAGGAGAAGTGAATTTTGCCTCCAATCCACTACCTTGTGCACTTTAGACATTGCTTCTCTCCCAACTACAAACTGAGCACCCTCTGTTGTCATCTCCTGAGAAGTGACCCCAGCTTCTAAAACAGCACCAAGACAATGAAAGACCTCTTAAACACACTAGATAGGCTCTATGTTCAAGCATAAATGCAAAAATAGGGCTTGGAATTTGTGTATTGTTATAGGTTTGAAGATTGTTGAATCATTCATACACACACACACACACACACATTGGGAGCTGACCACAGATACAGGCAGTTTTGGGCACTCCCCTCTCTGGAGCCCATGCAGTTAATTCAAGAAAAGTATGTGTTTCCTCACATATCAGCTGGGGAGGTGAAGCATATGCCAATTCTTCTAAAAAGACCTCTGGTGGAACTGGAGATGTATTGGTTTGGTGATGTTTGCGTAGCATGCACAAAGCCCTAAGGTGATCCGTAGAACCACCTCAACCAGGTAGAGTGGTGCATGCCTATAATGCCAGCACTTGAGAGAAAGAGGCAAGGAGAAATCAAGAGTTTGAGGTCATCGCAGACTGCATAGCAATTTTGAGACTGCATGAGATCCTGTCTCGAAAAACAAATCAATTAAAAAGACCCCTGGTTATGGGTGGAAACCTTGAAGGTCATCGCAGTTGCTGATGGATGTTTATGTTCAAATTGCTAGAGCCTTGCTTTCATCCTTGTTTGTTTGGATTTTTTTTAACCATGACTCACATCCCCAGACCATCTTTTTCATGCTTATTCCACTCCTACCAGCAACAGAAGCTTTAGCTTCTGCGAGAGTATTGACCCTACCTATACACACACACACACACACACACACACACACACACACACACACACACACACACACACACACACACGGATAGGAGGGCTTCTACTCACACTGGGCCACAGCGGGGCTCTGCATAGTTTACCTCCATCTGTCTTTCCTCTGCCAGCTGGAAAGTACTGTTCTAAGAATGCCAGGCTGGAGGGGGCTGGGATTTGCCTAGTAGAAGAAGTTCATGTTGCAGAGAACTGAATAAGAGCTGGCCTGTTCATTTACATGGTGGGACTCAGGGATGAGGAGAGCAGAAGCTGGGACTGCTAAAAAGCCAAGGCAGCACAAATGTTTTGAAACCCATTCTACCGGAACTCTTACGCCACGGAACCACACTCCGGTAGTTCTAGTTAATCCAACTATTTAATATTATTAGGCACTAAGTTAAATAGCTTTACACGAAATTTTAGAAAAGATCAATATTGTAACCAAATTACAGATTAGCAGTACAAAAAAAAAAAACCTGAAAAAAGAAACTATCGACCTGCTGTGGTTTATATACTTATGTTACACTTAGGACTTTGTAGAGACTGGCATTTTGCTGATAAAGGGGAAGGAACTTTTCAGAATTCAAGAATGGTGGGGTGCTTGCAATTGCTGGGGAAGGGAGGGGGCTTTGGGCCTTAGCCTTTCTGGAATTCTCTCTCTCCTTCAGCAGACAGAGTTGTTTGGGAACTAGAAGGAGCTAACGGGTAAGGTTGTCCCATACCACATATTTACGGATAATTGCCACGGCAAACCGGGTCACGGGCTTTGTTAATGATACTGTTTCTCATCTTGGTTTTTTTTTCCTTCAAAAACTATTATTACCAGGACTTCACTCTGAGATTAAAAGAGAAGGAAGAATTAGAAATCAATGGATGGTATTTTACATGTGTGTGTGGACATACACACACAAATGGTTGGACACAGACATATAGACACTGACACACAGATACACAGAGAGAGAGACATACAGACACCAACACACACAGATACACAGACACACAGAGGCAGACAGACAGACAGACAGACAGACACACACACAAGCTTTTTCTGAGATGCAGGAGATAATAGTAGAGTCTTCAGCAATGGCATCCACTTATCTCCGTCCCCTCTCCAAGGTTCGGACAACAGTGACCCAGGCAGAGATGGCGACAGGCAGACTCCCGACCTTCAGCCTGAACAAGGCCACAGAGCATGCGCAGATGGCAAGCTGAGGGCATCAAGAATTACTTAGGCAAGGCAGGATTTCCGTGACCGGGTGCTATTGCATGTTAGTATTTGTTCGAGGAAAGAAATAACGTGAAAATCATTTGGTGTGAATTAAACAGAACAGCAGTGAGCTCGACAGAGTCTGAGGGGACAGAGGGTGTAGTTCAGTCATGGAGTGCTTGCCCAACATATGTAAGGACCCAGCTTCAATCCCCGGCACTACAAAAATGAAAAGAAGGAAAAAAAATCTCTCCCCAGAAATAACCAAGTTTGAAGGAAGAAATATGATTAAAAAAAAAAAAAGACTAGTCCATTCCTTGACCAGCATGTCATAAAAGCACATTTCATAGAGTAGTAGTATGGAGACTATATATTGTAGCTCCTTCAAGTGCATAGTGAAAGCAGCGGGCTTAATCATGTTGTTCTCCCAAGACTGGTTCATTTAAAAGGAATTTCCCTTATCCATTTCCCACAACTGTTCTGCTTTCTTGTCTTTTCTTTCCTTTTCTTTGTTTCTCTATTCTTTTCTCCAGAAAGGGTTCCTTCCAGGCCCAGACTTCAAAAGACACAAAGTTATGTGGCAAAAACAAGAGTGCCTTTTCCGTTGGCTGTCCGCGTGCGCCGGCTCCACGGTATCTGATGTTTAGAAACCTTTCTCCTCTAAACATAAGAATTAGTGTGCACCACAATTTTGAGCCACTGACCTATGTATCTTGAGCAGCTACCAACTTGCCAATCCCCTTCGGGTCTCTTTATATGTTCTTAGAATATTTCTTTCTATTTTGGGTTTTCTTCACGAAGTCTGGGAAAGGGTGTGATTCTTTTTAAATTGATGAAAATAAAACTGTCCCAATTTGTGCCCACTTGTATCCACGAGCATGCTCTCTATCAGGCTTGAAAATCGGCTTTATCATTTTGTATATCTGACTATTTTGTATCCGGCATTATTTGATTCCTATGTGCATGGCAATGTATTAAAATGTGGGATTTCTATTACCGTGTAAAAGTGTTTTGATTCTGATGTTCAACATATAGCCTTGGCAAACTGGAAAAAAAAGCATTAAACTTTTCATTTCTATTTTCTTCAGCTCATCAGCTTTGTAGAAGGAAAGGAAAAGTTAACAGCATTTCACTTTCCCTGTGTTAGCTAATGATGCAATTCATGGTGGAAAATTGTCCTCAATTATGCTGAGTTTCCTAGAGAAATAGTTTATATGAGATGAATTGGTGGCCTCCCTCCCAGCACACAGAATTCCCCCAGTACGGAATCCCACCAATGGGATTGGTTTCTATTGAATGCTTGAGTTTGAGATTGAGCACTGCTGGACCAAAGTCACTATTCCCTTCCTCCTCAGACATGGTGACACATCGGAGTAAAGAGGGGACCAAAGATCTTGGCTCACCAATTTGTTCTTGTGGACAGTCTTAAATGCCCACCGTGTAGCATAGACGATGACATTTCCCAACACCTCCTGTCTGCATTTCTTTTCAGGTGGTTACGAAGTATAAGAAATCTGTCCTTTATCAATAGGTACAGACTTTCAAATGACACCTGCCCAGAGGGAAAAGCCAGTGCTGCCAGACACATTCAGCCCAAGTCTTGGCGTAGCTCAGCAAACATCCATATACCTTTCTTGCTCATTCATATATATTACCAAACATGTATGAATTCCAAACTTTTACTGAAACTTAAATAACTTCCAGAATAAAAAGATGCACCAAATAAAAAATGAAGCGGTTTGACCTGCTCTAAACTGCTATTTTCAACCTCCTTGTTTATTTTAACAAACATGTATAGACACCAGGACTTGACTGACTGTGGATTGACCCAACGAGAGCTGAAGCAAAGCATCTTTTCCAGATGGGAAACGCCCTGCATCACAGGAAGACACAGGTGTTTGTTATTGCTTTTAGTCTCCAAAGCGAAGCACCTTGATAACCTTTAGGGTTAACTCGTTGAGTGCATGTAGAAACCTTAGAATTCTGCTTCCCTTCTAACTTCAAGCACACATCCTTCTCCATTCCTCCAAACACAGTTTGAAAGCAGTTATTGCGGCAGTCTTGTTGGTTATGTAGTCTCTGAGAAGATATTGAAACCATACTCCACACACATGAAAAAATATTCTGATCTTAGCATTTCTAGAACCACTCCTGACCATTTCTCCTTCTCTTCCTGACTGATTCTCGTTTCTTCCTTTCCTCCCAGTTTCTCCCAACTTCAATTGGTCTCTCTCTTTTTGTTTTCCTTCTGCTGTCCCTTTTACCACTTACCTCATTATCTTTTCTTCTCTGTCCTCCCTCCCCCTCTCTCCCTCATATCTTTCTCTCCCTCCCTCCCTCCCTCCCTCCCTCCCTCCCTCCCTCCCTCCCTCCCTCCCTCCCTCCCTCCCTCCCTCCCTCCCTCCCTCCCTCCCTCCCTCCCTCCCTCCCTCTCTCTCTCTCTCTCTCTCTCTCTCTCTCTCTCTCCCATTTCATTTATCTTCCATTTCCTTTAAGGTGGAACATACATTTATATTTTTACCCTCACCTCTTTTTTTTTCCTGATTTGCTCTTTTTTTATTTATTTTTATTTTTCAGTTTAAATTTAGATAAGAAACAAGGTTGCTTCACAAGTCAGTTCCAGGTCCCTCTCCCTTTCCCTCCCCTCCTCCCGTGCCCTCCTCCCAATCCCCCCATTATCTCCTCATTTCCCCAAGGAGGGTGAGGCTCTCCATGGGGGTGTCCATAGTCTGTCATTTCATATAAGGCAGGGCCTAGACCTTCCCCCAAGAGTTCAGGGTGAGAGTGCACCTCACATTGTTGGATGGGAGTCCAAAGTCCGTGTGTATACTCGGGATGGGTACTGATCTGCTGCCCAAGGCTCAATAGATTACCTAGGCCTCCTCACTGACACCCACATCAGGGGGTCTTGATCAGTCCCATGCTGGATTCCCAGGCTGATGCCTGGGATTCAAGAGCTAACCCTTGTCAGGTCAGCTGTTTCTGGGGGTTAAACCAGCTCAGTCTTAATCCCTTTGGTCATCAGTCCTCCCTCTCTGTTACTGGCTTTCTTGAGTTCAGCTCAGTACTTAACCGAGGGAGTCTGCCTCTTCTTCCATCAGCCACTGAATGAAGTTCCTGTTTCCCAGACTCTCTGACCATGAGATTGTAGGCTGTTAACCTCACCTCTTATTCCATCATAGCTGCTTAAGAAATATCACATGGAAAACTGTAGATCCTGCATGCTACACCTTTCTTTGATGCTGGGGAAATTCTGTGGGAGACCAGCCAGGCAAGATATGTTAACTGGTACAGTGGGGACAGGTGCATTTGGATTTTAAGATCACGCTACATCTGGTACTGTAAGCCTGTAAACTTTGTCAAAACTCTGTGTCTGGGGCTATCATGGGTCGTGGTGGGGAAGCTTCAACTGTTATTTTGCTAAATAGACATGATATACTCATCAGGTTTCCTTATGAAGAACTATGCCTATCCTCACGTATTATTGCTACTGTCATCTTTGGTCAGCATGACTTCCTTTTTTTCCATATTTTTTATTTAACTATTTACGCATGTCACTCTCAGTTCTCTCTCCCTCCCCTCCTCCCCCAACCCCCAATCCTCCCAACCCCTCATCCCCACTCCATCCCCCCTCCACTCCCCACGGAGGGCAAGGGCTCCCATGGGAGATTTTCAGAGTCTGTCACATCATCCCAGGCAGGGCCTAGGTCCTTCCCCATGTGTCCAGGCTGAGAGAGCATACCTCCATATGGTATGGTTTCCCAGAGTCCATCTGTATGCCAAGAATAAATGCTGCTCTATTCTCCAAGGTCCCACAGATTGCCAAGACCTCCTCTCTGATACCCAAGTTTGGAGAATCAGTCCCATGCTGGCCCCTCAGTCATCAGTCTGGGGTCCATGTGTTCCCCCTTGTTGAGGTGAGCTGCCTCTGTGGGTTTCGACAACCTGATCTTGACTTCTTTTTTAAAGAAAGTGGCATCAACCTCAAAGACTCTGAACTAGCCATAGTGTTGAGAATAATTGTTGGATGATCAGCTGTGTGTGGAATATGTATACCTGTTGGGGAAGTCCTGTGTATATGTCAATAAATTACTGCTGGCCAATAGGAATCTAGATAGGTGGGGCTAGGAGTCCAGGAGGATTCTGGGAAGGAGAAACACAGGAGAGTTCGAGATGTAACCGCCATGGGGTAGGAAGCCTGGAATGTCTCCGGTAAGAGAAATACATAGATTGACAATTATGGGGTAATTACTTAAGTCAGAGGTAGCCAGGAAGAAACAAGCAAGGCCAACAGCTTCATAATTAATACAGCATCTTGTGTGTTATTTGGGGACTACAACGTGGCAGAGCCCAGGCGACTGGCAGGTGATAAACCAAAGCGGCTAGCAAGGAAAGCTTCTCTTTACATATACCATTCCCTCAAAAGCTCAGAGAACACTGCAGAAGAAGCAGTGGAAAGAATATATGGTCAGAGGAAGGGGTGGAGTGGTGCCAAATGTTGCATTCCAGGCATGAGTTGGCCATTGCACTCTTGAACTCACAGCCTCTGTGGTCCTTTGTACAAGACCGAAACAAGATAAGACCTGTCAACTTTGAAGATCCCCCATGGAAGGCCTCACCCTCCCTGGGGAGCAGAGGGGGCATGGGGGAGGCAAGGGAGGAGGAGAGGGAGAGGGAGCTGGTATTGACATGTCAAGCAAGCTTGTTTCTAATTTAAATTAAAAAATTTGTCAAAAAAAAAAGATAAGACCTGTCAACATATTGCCAAGGAGAGAAGAGGGATGCATGAGGTCGCAACCCTCTGTGAAGATTTATAGGCAGTTTATGGTTGCTGGGGGGGGGAGAGAGAGATTTTCTTTAGTGACCTAGGCAATGATAAGGTACCACTGCTCCTGTGAAAATTCCTTCACTCATGCACCTAAAGTCAATCCTAATGAAAACTGCTAGGTTACATACACCCCAAAGATATGAACGGAGGAAAATCTGAGAAGAGGAAGCAGATCAGTGGATGTGTTAAGAAGATGAATGAAGATAACAGAAGGTACAAGTATGGTTAAAATATATATAGGTTTTTTTCTACATTTTTTATTTTTAAATTTAAATTAGAACCAAGGTTTCTTCACATGTCAATCCCAGGTGCCTCTCCGTTTCCCTCCCCTCCTCCCGTACCCTCCCTCCAACCCCCCCAAAGCCCCCTCCTTTCCCAAGGGAGGGTGAGGCCCTCCATGGGGGTGTCCATAGTCTGTCATTTCATCCAGGGCAGGGCCTAGACCCTCCCCCAAGAGTTCAGGGTGAGAATGCATCTCTCATTGTGGGATGGGCACCCAAAGTCCATTTGTATGCCAGGAATAAATACTGATCTACCAACCAAAGCCCCATAGATAGCCTGGGCCTCCTCACTGAGACCCACATTATTATTTTTCTTCTTTTATTTCAACTAGTTTTTTATTTAAAATAGAAACATGCATGTTTCAAATGTCAATCCAAGCTCCCCCCCCCCTTGTCCCTCCACCAGACCAACCCCACCACCCCACTCCCAGGCCAATCCCCACATCATTCCCCAGGGAGAGTGAGGCCCACCTTGGGGGATCTCCAGAGTCTGTCATTTCATCCAGGGAAGGACCTAGGCCCTTCCCCATGTGTCCAGGCTGAGAGAGCATTCCTCTATATGGAATGGGCTCCCAAAGTGCCGCGCCCACTGTGCAGCCTGTGTCCGAGAATGTGCGGAGGGTGTCAGGGATTGACGACACAGAGACTCGTTCAACGATGTAAAGAAAACTTTAAGCAGGCCCCAAAAAGGCTCAAGAAAACTTCCCAAGAAAGGCATCCCTCCAGAAAAGCTTCTGCTCTCTCCTTGCCCCTGGCTGGTTCTGCTCTGACACCAGAAACTGACTTGGGTGTGTCAGAAGAGGCAGTTAGTCTTTGGAAAAGGTCAAGGTCAGGGCAGTTTCTGTGGGACAGCCCTTTTCAGGAACTTATTGCCCCGGGCATTG